ACAATTTTGTTGTTGTTCTTGTATCTGCATAAAAATTACCCAAAGAGCTTTTGTCTGGGTTGTTCCGGTTACACAGAGCCGACTGTGTTGGAGGGAGGCCATGTGAAAGCGATTGCATACGAGCTGACGGACCGTGTTCTAAGGTATACAAATACTGGACCCGACATCGTACTCGACTTACAACGACTCCGGACCAGTGAATGCCGTTGTGGGAACACAACCACCTGACGTGGACGAGACAGAGCTTTGTCTGCCTCGGAAGACTCCCACCACCATAGCTCAACTTCTCTCTGGATACTGCAGCAGCCTAAACTCGTACCTGAGTAGAATAAACGCAGATGTGCCCTACGAGTGCCCTGGAAGCGGAGTGGCACTTAATGACTCACGAAACTTCTTCTCATGCCCCCAAAACCCCATTTAGCTAAGGCCCTTGTCCCTATGAACCAACCCAGTCGGAGTTGCACGTTTCCAGGGTAATCGGTTATTAGTTGAACTTGACGACAACGACTGAGGGACAAACCGAACTAGGCAAGGTTGAATAGCCGCTACAACGACAGAGGCAGGGGGATGAAACTGAGAAGGACAGTAGGTTGTTTTCTGTGAATGATCCAGACAGAAATTCGTTATTGGCGTTTTCCTTTCTACCGAACAATTTTGCCTTCTCATTGCCCTCTGCTCACAAATACAAAAAGAGTGTATTAAAAAGGAAACATTTTTTGAAGAAAAGAAACGCCATGTGTTTTGCCCGAAGTTAGCTATCTTGTGACATATACGCTTTAAGCTTTCATTACGTCTTCAAAAATCATAATTTTTGGTTGGAAATTATGCAACCTTTTATGGTAAAATTTCAGTAAGGTTATGTATGTGGCGGGCTGCCGCTGTCAAGAGTTCGGTGGTCACAAAAGTTCTGTGGAGAAGCCCTTTTAAGCCATCCCGATATTTTTACGCATCCATAAATTGCCCGGAGCCAGTCGATACCTTAGCTGTACAGCTTCTCGAAACGGTTGTTCCGCAGAAATCTGAAGCGCTTACTTCGTTACGAGAGTTATTTGCCTAGAAACTACTTAATGGATTTTACCTTTTACTTGTCTTTTTTTTTGATAATATTTTAGTTATATTTAACTTCATTTAATATCCTTATAAGCCTTAGCGATTGCATCTTTCCAAAGTAATCGGTAAGTACACTTATTTTTACATATTTCAATAAACATACATTAAA